CTGCAGTTTTATAGTAATAATACAAAAACATACTATACAATTTCGTAATTTTATTAGCCTTAACAATCTATTTTAAAGGCACAACTATAATTCTGGTGGCGTTGAGCTATATTATTGTTTGTAAGGCGCTAATTGAAAAATCCATGTTAAAAAAAAAAAATGGTCAAATAGTCAATAAATACGAACAGTAGGTGGTTCATAAAAGATGTTTATAGGTAGTAAGTATCAAATCAAATCTCGCTGCGAACTTATTATAGTTCCTGCTGATTTCGTTCTTTGTAGTCGGACGTTAGGAATTCCACACGGTTCAAGATATGTCGCATTTGCTGGGTAAGCAATTCAATATTATATAGTGAACACTAACAAGGAACAATAATGAGGATTCATGGCTGCAACCTTCGAAACTATCTAAAACTCGGCGTTACGAAGGCCGAATTCGTGACGATGGGAACTTCCAAATGAGATATATCGTCAATCACTCTGGTTAAAAATGTATACAACGTCCGTGTGTGTATATTATAAACTATTCACTTATATAATATATACAAATAGTATGCGATAACAAAGATCTGAGATAGTCTATGTAATATAGATATATATAGTAATAATAATATTATTTAAACAGTGTTCATTAAGATAAAATTTAAATCTATTAAGTTAGCTTTCATAAAACAAAGATATCAAGATTCCGTTCCCTACATAATAGAATATAATATAAAATATACATCGACGAATAATTTAATATTACATAAAACCTTGTGTCAGATTCTAATACATATTAAATGTTTTTATTATGATGATCAATAAATTATGTTAAATTTACTAATTTATTATTATTATTTTTATAACGTATTGATATCAAGTTGCTTGTAATAAACATAATAAATTATTATAAATGTTCACACGTATTTGTAATAATTTTCATTAAATTGTACCACATTTAATTAAATTACTCTTAATAACAACGTACATAATTACTATTAAGTGACAGTAGCTGGTAGATATAATATAATATGCAAATATATATATACCTAGCACCTGTGTGTGTGTGTATGTACTTAATGTGTATAGATTTTAAACAATGTAGAATTGTAATACTTTTCATGAATAAATTAACTGCATATGAACAAATACAATTAAAAACTTAATATTTAATTTGTACTCGCACTTTTGCGCGTAAAACTATTATTAATTATTTTGCATTTTGATTGATCTTCATAAGAATGTAATTATAATTTATGTTTTTATCTATGATAGTTTTTTTTCATGCACCACTAACCTTGTTAAAAGCATCTTTATTTATTATTTGATAACAATCGCCTTTTAATAATATGTAATTGAAAAATAAAGACAACGCTAAACTTCTGATCGTTTTATTTTTTTTTTTAACAAACGTATATTAATATTTACTTTTTTACTTTGTGCCACAGATGTTTCATACAAATAACGAATAAATGTATAAATCTGCAGTAATCAAAGTTTACTCGATATATTAGGACATGTAGTGTATACACACGAATTAAAATGAACATCTTTTTTTTTTCTGCTAAAATGTGTAAAACATGTGCTTATGCATTTGTAAAATGGAAAAATAATAAATATTTTTAATAATTGGAAAGTATATTTAAAAAATAAAATGGAAGTACTTGTATGTTTTTACAATACTATTAAATTATATCCGGCTGATTTTGCACATTTTAGATTTCTTTATTTATTTTTTTTTTAAGAATTATATGACAACTTAAGGATTCTGATATAATTTAATACTGTATATATTTTTTAAAAAATCTCTAGAATATGTCAGAGAAATAATATTACCCTGCTTGTATGCTATGAAATCGATAAATACACATAAAACGTAGTTATTCACGATTCTCAACTAACAAGGGGAAAATATTCAATAAGTTATAACCTATAACCTTGAAATATCACTGTAAATATAAATTTAAAACAACCCCTTATCATATTATTCGTATTTTGGCCTTATTCGGTCCGTGTACTCATGATAATTTAAAAATATTCAATTAACTAATTTTCGAATAAGCACACATGGTACAAAACATGCAGGATAAATCACGTACTGCTATGCAACATTTCTACGTAACCAACAGTACGAAATTTATAGTTTAATTTTAGTCAAAATATCTTTGAGTTTATAAGTCATTGTATTTTCATTATAAAAAGTGTGACTGTATCTAAATAATTGTTGACAATATTTCTCACAAACTTTTAATTCATTGCTTCAAAAATGAACTATATTCGCGTGATTCATTGTAGTGTATATTACTTTAAACATAAAACGTTCAAAAAAATATGCCACCGTATGATAAATACGATTGAAAATATCGTTACATCGATATTTTGGAATGTTACTTCATCAATATCTATTTAATTATTGTCTATTTTTGATTTTATTATTAATTACAAAATGTATAAACTATTATATATATTTTATGTTTGTAATATGTTTATCGTTTTTTTCCTTTAATTTAGTACAGCATTAAAACTTGCAATTCTAAAGTGTTAACACAAATTATAAAGTCTAAACAGTGTATCAATGTTCATTAACTAAAATATAATTTATTTGTTTAATTAGTTGGCTTATACTAAATATGTTTATAAATTGCTGAATGATACATTGAAAATTCTAATGAAAATTAAAAAAGTCAGTTGTTCAAAGTTAAATTTTGGTGTATAATGAAATCAATAAATAAATAATAGATCAAATATAATATATAAATATTGTATATCTTGTTATGTTGCAATTTAATAATTATTTTGGTTCATTGTTTTAACTAACAAACAAAAAATAACTCATTAGTCATAACAGTTAATGGTATCGATTTACATTAAAACCTATATTATTGGAATATTATAAAGTACTTATATACTTGTAATATTAGTGAATTATTGAGACAATTAATTAATATTGAAATCTCATTAAACCATAATTGGGTAGCACCTCCGAACTATAAATATTAAATTGAATTTTAACACTCTAATTATTTTAATATAGAATTATGATGTATTTTTACTCGTAGTCATAAATATTACCCTTCATTATAGAAGTATCCTTAATTTTTAGAAAGTTATATTCAATAATATTTTAATCTTAGACAAAATATAAGACAACAACTTTTTACAGCGCTTTTTAAAAATAATAATTATTTAAATTTATTTTAAATTAATAATCATCCAGTTACTAATTTAATTTATTTACAAAATAAATTTACTTATAATATTTTTTAATGTCATTTACTCCATAACGGTCATAACTTTTCCTAAATCATTCGCTCTCACCTTGATTGGATCACCCTAAAAATAATATAATAGGTAAACAAATTAAATAAAATAATTAATTATTTTAATTTGTAATTATTATACAGTTAATAATATTAAATAGGTATATTAAACACAATACACATAGGATAATGTAGATATTATGACAGCTATAGATAACTAAATATTTATTTTTTATAAAGTTCAAAGTTTAAAGAAAATAAAATAAATGTATTTTTCATTTAATTTAAATATTATATCTATATAATAATATTAAAGATCATATACAAATATAAACATTAAAATATAAAAGTTTAAGAACTAATTAATACAATTTTAAGTTTCAAAGAAGTAAGAAATATCAAACATTAACTATTTAAATTGCAGAGCGGGAAGGAAATACTAACAAAATAATTACTAAATTATAAATAAAATCGCATTGTTAATATTTACCTGACAAAGTGTATAATATAGCGACATCAAAATGAATTGCCTCTAAAGAAAAAAATAATTTTACGTTCCTTGTTCTCAACATTTATTTTTGTACTAAAATAATTAGTTTTTTCTTAAATTAAGCGCAAAAAAAAATTCAACTATTAATATAATTATTCTTTTTATATATATATATATATATATATATATATATAATATCATAACAAAAACGAGTGGTTTTTACTCACAGTAAGATTATTATAACGACTCATTGGTATTTTTAAAATAATATATTATAATACATCTATGTACTAGAAACTGATAATTCGATAATGGCATTGAGATTATTTCTTTCAAACATGTATAGTTACTTTTTTTATCTGTAAATCTATTATAATAATCTGGTTTATTCATTATTATACAACATGTATTACATATTATTTTTTATAATTTCCGAAGTAAATAATAGCCATAAAATATTTCCAGTGCACGTTTTCCCGGGCCTGATCTGGTAATTCTATTGTAATAAATTAATAGATTTTTAGACTCTCAATACTCATTTTTTCTATATCTGACTTATTAACTTATAAAAAAAAAAAAAAAACTCATGCTATTTCTTGTCAAAGACCATTATCGTATTACAACTACTAACCAATGCAATAGCACATAAATTCTAATACTTGCTCTATACAATACAGCCATTATCATATATTGATCATTTTTAATTATTATTATCCTTGTTAGATTTTTATAATATGTAACGTAAAAAATCGATTTGTCCAAATCATGTCCTATCATATTGATATTATACATAGTTATGTGTATTGTATATAGATATTATAAAAATTAAGTATATTGAAATTAAATATTTTTTAAATGTGAGTGATTCTGATGAAAAAGAAGGGGAAGGGAAAAAATTAGTCATGCAAAAATTTTTAGAGACGTGGATATTGTATGATATTATCTTTACAAACAATCTGTAATGTATATGTTAAGTGGTGTGTATATATAATAGAAAATAACACATTTTAAAACCTCTAGAAAACACTAAAGTAAATAATAATGAAACTAAATACAATGTTTATGCAGTATCAAAGGGGATCAATTATATTTTTGGAGAGGATCGAATCAATCCTGGGGGATTTGAGGTAGGTAGGACCCCTGCCTGACCTGAGTAGCCCCGCAGCGCTCCAAGTCTCAAACGGCAGGACGATGGATGGGATAAAATTGGTTTCGTTTACTCAATAAACAAAAATTATAACCATTCATACCATCATTTGTGTTCATAGGATGTTCATACCAGAGTCATGGGGGAAGCGACAAGAATGGTGCTGGCGGTAGCGGGCGTGACGTCAATGCTGTGAAACCAGACGCCAACCAATACTCTGGGCCGCAATTCGACCCGGAAACACCCAGAAACGTGACTGCGCTAGAGGGAAAATCTGCGTATTTGACATGCAAAGTCAAGAATTTGGATAACAAAACGGTAAGCGATTCAATTTGATTTAATCCTACCCGTCATATTGTATTCTGCTGTCGATTGCAAATCTCACAAATATTTTAAACTTGTATAAACTCTATCAATTATGAAACTTCTTGTAAAAATATAAAAAATAAATAAATCAATATTTATAAATTAATAAGTAAACCTACGAATAATGTAGTATTATAGTTGATCTGTATCACAATACTAGGTGTGTAGATAATAAATTATTATATATTTCATAAACACTATACTGTACATAACAAAAATAATGGTTATACATTTATGAGTACAGTATAATATAATATCACAATCTTATTGATCGAACAAGAATCATACATCATTTCTAGAAAATTATTCTATTAACGGTAATAATCATCTCGACTGATTAAACGCAAAGGGTAAAAATGTCGATTTTCCGTAGTTACGACAATCGCAAAAACTTAGAATTTTAAATTAATTTCAGAACGTGTGCGGCGAGGGTATACGTCGAATTACGATGACTGAAGTCATCACTCGTTGGGGACCGGGATAATCCGATTACTAAGGTTTAATTTACAGGAAAAGCTAAAAAAAAATATTTAGTCATCATTCACACAAACGTTCGTCTTTGGCATTAGTTATCGATGCATACATTAAATATTCTAATTGGCATATTGGTGCCGCCGTGTTCTAATTAGTAATGGATTTAAATTATTATATTTGCTCTGGATCGATTTTAACAGTTATAAAAATTATTTAACAATAATATCATGTATGATTTACTTGCGTATTATTGTTATCGTTATTTTTTAACCATCCTTCTATTTTATAATATCACTGATATAATCTGTTAGACGGTCGTACTGTATTTGTAGTATCTTCAAATAAGGTCTGTACATAATATTGTAAAAAAGTTATCTATCTATATATATATATTAGACATACCTAACCTAAATAGTTGATTATAGAATCGACAGATGTAGAATTATTAGACTTAAGTGTATTTTCCAGTTTAGATATTTATATTCGTTTATGTATTCATCATATGGGAATAATAAATTATACACTAGCTGTAACAAGTAAAACCCTCTTAAAAAATTTAAATATGAACATAAGGACGTACATGACATTATTACGATCGTTTATCCTGTAAAGTTCTAAAACGTGAATACTGAGAAAAGTCGAAGAACTGAGGTTTATTTCTTTAAAGGAAAGTGCAAAGAAAAATGTATGGGTCAATTTTTGATAGTAAAACTAATAAATAGATAAAATTGCACAATCATGAACTCAAAATGACATTTAAGGGACCTGAAATAGTTAAACAGATCACAAAAGAAGACATATGGGGGAGTTATGCCTGGCGTAAATAAAAATTCCTAATTAGGCATGTGATAAAAAAAAGATCTTATAAGAAAAAGGCCATTAGAAAGGTCTAAGTTAAGCTAGAAGATTGCTCAAAGAAGGATATAAAAACAATAGAACGGAAATCAGATAGAGGGAAGCTGTATAAGACAGAATCAGATGGCACGATTTGAATTTAACTGCATGGTCTTAAAATCTAGAACAGTAGTAGAAAGAAAGAAAAATATACAATGAGAGAAACTGTAACAAGTGCATAGAAAATATTATTAAGTCTGAGCAAAAAATACAAGTTCATATTTTTTATAACGTTTCAATTTAAATAGACAGAAGAAACCAATGAAAAAAAAAATATAATTACAAAATGTCATTATTTATTTATTTTCTTTAATAAATAAATTATGTCAGATTAACGATGCTTCTGTGTTATTCATGATGACTAAATTATAAATATTATAATATTACACTCAAACTGTAATTTTGTATACAATATAGTGCTATGAACTTATGTCAGTAAAACTCATTACTATATATAATAAAATAATTTCATTGGCATCCAACAAGTATAAAAGTTGAAACTCCGTTGAAAACTTAAATGTTCTGTATATATTTGCAGGAATTCTATACTAAATATTTTATTGAGTTATATAATTGTTCTGATGTTTCCTATAAAATGTATGTTTAAACTGCATTGTTTTAATTTGTATAGCTGTACATAAGTACCAAAGAAAGAGAAATTTATAATTATAATAAGTAATTATAAAAATTGAAACAAATTATTTTTTTAAGTCGAAAAGAATATTTTTCAAATAATAGGTACTCTGCATTATTTATTTGGTATCATTATTTTATTAAATATTATAGGAAGCATAAAAAGAGTATTTTGAAAATGATAAAGACTATTAACAACTTTAAAAAATGTAGCTTTCGATTACATTTAATAAAATAAATTATGTATAGGAATTGGATAATAACTAATAAGTATGTTTAAGTGTTTTGGTTATATTTATTAAATTACTATCAATTAATTTTGAGAAAATTAACCAGCATTGAAAATCTACAAAAATGATTATTATTATCAACCAATGAACTTGAAAATTATTCTACGAGTTGTTATTTAATATATTTGAGGAAATTAAAAACTGGATGGCTGTCTATTAAAGATTAAAACTAATGATTTAAAAGGAAAACAATTATAAATAAATATTTGATTTTTATATAAATACCTTGTTAATATTTTTATAAATAAATATTAGATATTATAGCTGATTACTGAAAATTTTAACTTATATAGGTTAATAAAAAATGTAACTGTGAAATATAACTTATTAAATAAAAATTAATCCAATACGACGATGAACGAATCTCAATTAAACGTTATTTGAGATTATTTATTTACAGTTACTGTATACATTATACATGCCATATACATATTAAACAGGATAATTCACCAAGCGTTGCTCAGTCCTTAATGGCATTTAATAATTTATTTATTTCAAGGTGAATATGTCAAAATATGAGTTAAAAAAAAAAAAAAAATTAACAGGCATATATAAAATATGCAAAGTATAATGTGTTTCTAGTATTTACTCAGACAAAAATATATAATAAACTATGCAAATATGTATGTTTTACGTTCATTTTATTCAACTTAAAATGTAATATGTAAAATTAGTTTGATGTTCACACTTAGTAACACGAATATGTGAATGACGTATACGATGTGTGATTACGTTCTCTAATTTTATTATTTTGTGTTACTTCATACTTCTCGAACTGCATGCGTTTTTTCGGAAACAATAAGGTCTTCTCGCGTTTGTCCAGACTACCCATGGCCGTCGAAAGGATTGAAATAAAACAAATTATAAAGTTTTTGCAAAAGCACGTTTTGTTTCAGGCAGAGAAGAAGGAGCAACAATGCGTAACGTAAGAAATGCCATTTCGTTCCGACTCTTTTCGAATAGAAAATACGTATAAAAACGTTTGTAACAAAACCATTAATATCCTATCCGTCAATGCGATAATTTGTAATGAGTTTTTCTACTCCTGTGGAAATACATAAGCGTGTAGAACAGAATAGACAAACGGCACGTTGCAAAATCCAACTCGCTACAGCTTACAGAGTTAGTAACTTCTGGTGACACGATATTCACGCTTAAAATTAATAATTATTTTATACGTTATTAATTTAAAGCGCACGCAAAGAATGCAGGACAAAGCTCTGCGCGTATATTATTATAATGCTAATAGGTTTATAATTACGAGATGTATTGCCGTAATTTAATACGGTGTAATTTTCAGTTCTAAATCTATTATAATATTATATAATAGTTGCGACCGACAATAGCGTTCGTTGTTTGAGCCCATGGAAATATATATATATTTACGAATACGACAAAATAAACACACGATAAATACATTAAAAATAATAATTTATAACGCGTTCTATATATTTTGCGACCGTATATTAAATAATAATATAATACCAATATTATGGTTGAGATTATTCTAATATTGTTATGACCAACGACCAATAGATATCGGTCAGAAAATTCATTTATAAATCATGTTCTACCAATGTATTGATTTATAAAATATGTTAGTAGATACATGGTTGCATTATTTTAGAATAAAATTAGGCTATTTTAAAACATTTTGTTTTTAAATCTTGTATTACCACCAGTACAAGTATTTAATTTTATGGATTGAATTTAAATGTGTTCATGAATATTATCATATATATATTATTAAAATAAACTAAACATACTTAATACTTAAACTCAATTCACTTTTTACTAGGCTATTTCTCAAACCATGAAGGCTAGTTTGTGTACCTAAAGTGTACCATAATTTTTATAAGACAATGTGTTTTTTATTTACCAGTGGTAAATACCACTTATTTTCTAAATTATTAAAACTGCATTTTATTTGTGTATTTAATTTTTTTTAACATATTCATGCATGTAATAAAGTAATAAAGTAATATAATATATATATATATATATATATTAAATTATCTTCTAAATTATTTATTTTTTCGTCAGTAAATTATAACACAACAAAAAACTAAAATATAATGAAGAAATAATTTGTACTTCAAACAAACGTACGTGTCTACAACGAGTGTTTTCCAAATAATCTTAATTGTATACTAGATTTTAATAAACAACATTCGGTAAATATGTTTATTTTGTATTTGGGGAATTTAATTTAATATATCATTGCAAACCAGTACCTAATTATATGTATATATATATATATATACATATATTTAAACAACAGTAAAAATTTAAAAAAATATTTAACATGGGTTATAATCGTGAGTTTAAGTCATAATTTAGTTCTTAAATATATACATAATTTATTTTTTCATAAATTTATGAACCTAAGTTATGCACTATTTAACAAAATGAAAAATACAATACGTGAAAACCAACGTATTTATCTATATATATTATATATGTTATACGTTTAGTAGGTAGATATTAATTGTGTATCATATTATTATGTAAACACAATATGAAGCTACGCATAAAGCCATAATATACGTATACGATATTTTAGATTATCATATAAAATCCATACTAAGTACACTATACAGTATAATATATTAAAATATAATAATAAACAATATAATTAATTACGCAAGGGTCGATTCGATG